TCCTGCTCTCTCCTGCCTTTTCAAGGGGATAATTCTACTTTACAGTCAAATGGCTCCGGCTGAGGCGCAAGGCCTGGCAGGGCCCTTACCTCCGTCCCGGGGGGGTGGTCCACAGAGCAGCACGACTCCCTGCCCCTCTCGAACTGACACCGCACTCCTCATTTTTGTCCTGGAGCTTTCAAGATCTGTTTTTGAAAGAAAGGTGAGCTGGGTATTAGGAAACAGACTAGAGATACAAGAGTTTCAAGTCCTGATATCACATCTTAGTAGGCAACTAAATTCAGCAATTTCAGGGGATCAGCTGCAAAAGAAATGTCTGTTCAACATGAGGGAGGATGACAGAATTAGGACTGAAGTGAACTAATTTACAAGAACATAATTAAACAGATCCTATGGCTAATTTTGTTCTTATGCTAGGCTTACTCTACCCTAATTTTGATAACCAAAATGGAGTCATAAGCATAATGTAAAAATAGGTCCTTAAGCCTCTGTTTCTTCCGAAATGAAGGCTCTGATGAAAATAGCACCAAGATCCTACTGAGCTTGTCTAACCAACCATAACACAACGCTAACACCCAGTGATTCAGAAAGAGGATACATATCTTTTCAAACAGAACAGAAACCCCTCGACCTGCAGCAGAGCTCCTTGTGGTATCGCTAAGCTCTGGTGCAAGCAAGAACTTTGCACTCTGCTCTGCCCGGCTTCAGGTCTTCTGTGATCTTTTTAAGCTGTGCAAGAGGGGTAACAAATGCTACTGAACAGACATAAATGCAAAATTGCAGAGCAGCAGTTTGTTATCATAAATTTAAATTAACTTTCCCTCTAACTGGTGACTCAAGAACCAAGAAAGTATGGCCTCATTATATCCTTGAATTAAGCTAGATATAATATTTAATACAAACTAAGATTGAGGTTCTACACCAAGAAAGATTTCTCCGTGAATAAACCATGTATTTTTCCATAATAAAACCAAACAGAAGACAATTTAAAGAAAAATCCAGCTGTTTGTTTATAAGCTTGTAAAAGGATACTAACACACTCAGTCTTTAAAATAATGCTATCTTTATAACCAAGCATAATAGGAGCGGTGAGTTGACCAACAGTAGCTATTCCCCAAGACACAATATTTTTTTAATATTGAAAGCAACAGCTGTTATAGTCAGAACACTGAACAAGAGTGAATAGAATTTCAATGCTTCATTTAAAACAAAAAAATACACTGAATGCCGCAATAAGATACTGTTGTATTATTCTTTGTTACTGCACATAAAGCTTAAAAAGGCTGTTTTCCAGCTGCATTTCTGTGCAGGTACATCTCAGGGCCTACATTTTCACGCACAGAATAAGTCTGGATCCTTCAGCTGGACACGTTGTGGAGACCACATACAAGCATAGCTGAACTGACTTCACTGGGAGATGAAAATAGCACGCCTTGCAATTCATCTCAGGCCTTTTAAGCATCTTTCTCTTCCCTCCATAACAATACAGATTTATTAGCCACCCATAACACAATTCCCTCGAGTCATGAAAGAAAGAACCAAGAGCTGACAGCACCCCAGAGGACACAAACTATTCTATATTAGGATGAAAACAGCTATGCAATTTGGTTTTTAAAATATATATTTTAAAAAAATAAATCTATTTTACATGTAAAATTAATTTAGACCAAATTTTGCCCTCTTGCACCATAACCACTGCAAGTCATAAATCTTACATAACACGATTTCTGTAATTAAAATGAAATTATTTATCGCTGTTTTCTAAGCACGTGCGTTCATTTTTTATCGCAAACGTAGACCTTCAGAAACTGGGCTGCCTTTGTGCATGAGCAGGATGGAATTGGGCTGGGAGCACTTCAGGAAGGGCTGCGAGGTGTGGGACATGCCAAGGCACCCGGAAAGTCACAACCTCCCTACCCCGCAGGTAACGCAGCAGGCATCCACTGCAGCTCCACTTTGATCGGGTGCAATGTTGCACTACAGAAGTTACTAATCACTGATTACAGGTGAAGACTGCTGTCACAGAAGAACAGATCTTTGGAAATGAGCAGCAATGCAGAATCTATCAGAAAAATCAAGAATATAAGCCATACTACAATAAAGAATAATTTTTCACTAATTAGCAGGAAGCTCTTCATCCTATGTTCTGGAGCACTTTGAGTACTGGGCTAATCACACAGCTGCAGAATACCATCTCTTAATTAATTTATATACTTGTGTATTCTCTTTACACAATGTCTGGCAGCACTTTAAAAATAATTAAAATCATCATGCAAAATAGTAATAAAGTTCTCTATTAGCATTATACAATGAAGTCTAAACCTCTGACCTTGGGAAGTGCTCCCTGCTTATACAGGAGATTCTGGTCTGATTTTCAGGCACCTCTGTAGCATATTTAGAGAATTAAAGGTCGAAGCCAGTCATGCTCAGTAGAAAAGCAAGAGAGATGATTTCTTTTTGTTTGTTTTTATTTTTGAGGTTTTTGTGGTGGAGAAAAGCAAGAGAGATGATTTCTTTTTGTTTTTATTTTTGAGGTTTTTGTGGTGTTTTTTTTTGGTGGGTTTTGTTTTGGTTTTTAAATAAAGCCAGTATTCTAACAGCAACAACACTACGGAATAGTGCTGTATCTTCTAATAAAACTTGCTATTACATGAAATCATTGGGAAGGAACATTAAGTTCTCAGAAAACTGACAAGGTAAATAAAATACTGTAAAAGGTGGGCAAATAACGGAAAAGATTGTTTACTTCTACAGATCGATTTGTATCTCTGAAATCTGAGGCTCTTA